CAGACATTTCATAAATCTATTATATAACAAGTAACGCTCATCTTCGATTCACTAACCCTTGACTGAAAGATCCTGGTGCTAACGAACCCGACATGTACGGTGGGCGAAATTCGCAACTTACAGAAAATGATTTTTGTTGTCTTCGGTATGGTTGAATAAAACTACTCGAGTTATCTACTTAAAACTGATTTTGATACGTCTAGAAGTTATTGTGAAAAACTTTTGATCGTTTGAAAATAGTCCAAAATGAGGAAAATATTCGTATTACTTCTTCCGAAAGTTCACAAGTAGTTTTCTCCGGCTCCCCTCGGGAAGCTCAAAAAGCTAACTCTGGCTGGCACCACAAACACACCGGTGCTGAACATACAACTACGAAACACGACACACACGCCTACTAACAGGTGTGGCACCAAAGCAACCAGTTGCACCACAACAATACCACCAACGATACACACTGACAACGAAACCCGATACACAGCCCGAGTAGTCAGGTGTCACTACTCTACTATTGCGCACGGACGGACGGAGGGACATTTCGTTTGTATGACCCAAGACTTTCAGTCAAGGGAATTATATATCTACAATATAAACATCGGGCAAAGCATGACCAACAAAAATACAGCCATCTTTTAATTACGAAAAAAGGTAAGTTATTACTCATGAATAAATGAATATATGTCTTTTTGCTACCTAAGTTCTCATTACTAATAAAGATAGTATCAGACATAGAAGACAACATCTTGACAACATTAACACAAAAATTAAGAAAAGTGAATCAACGCATCGCATAGAGCAAGCTCTATCGATGCGTTAAATTTTTAAAAGATGCCTCTCAGCCTAAAAAATCAATTAATTTTGAATTTTCGTTAATTAATAACTCGGTTAATACTACACCAAAATGTTTTTTATCACATAGGCATAATGTTGAAGGTATTCTCTACAAACTGGCAAAGCTTGAGGGTATGCTTAAGAGGGAACACCCTCTCTTAATAATGTACGATTCAGTGCATAGTTTGAAACTGTCATATCTTATGAACCATCCATCGTACAGACTCATGAGACCTGTCAGTTTTTTCTCACTTAAAATGCTCACCAATTCTGATGTACTAAACATTTAATAATTTCAATGATATCATTGGATAAACTTCGCTTCTGAGTATATATGGTGGCAAAATCTTTCTTCTATCTTATGTGGGTACGGAGAAAAGTTATTTATAGACTACTCAAAATTTTCAGTCTTTTTGAAGCGATCCTTACTTTTAAAATCCATATAACTCTTGAACAAAACATTTGTTTGAGTCGGGACTTGCATGTTATTCCTGTCTAGTCTAGATCTATATACTACGTGCGTTTCATCAAAATCGGTGATAGTCGTAGAACAAAGTTCTGCTGTGGTATTGTATGAATTTAGTCTGGTTGTTCTTGTCGTGAATTTTCGTCAAGAAATATTTTATTTGTGAAACTAACAAATTATACATCATTCGATGTGGCTTTTCACGCTGATCCTGAATATCACTTGATTTCTCACTGTGCGTGAGCGTTACAGCAAAGACCGGACATATTCACAATGAGGGGAATGCCGACTAGAGATCAGCGGGACTAGTCTCGTTTTCGAGACTGAAACAAACTTTTGGGGTAGAATTAGGACTGAGGTTGAGGTCGAGACCCAGAGCACATTTGAAAGCTGTTATTATCAAAACAAGAGCAAACGTTTTTTGTTGGATTCCCAACATAATCATGTTCCTAGTGTGCATCTTTCGTAAAGTAAAGAAGAAAATATCATAACTCGCGTCAACTCGGAGTCAAGTTTTGGAACATGACCGGGATCTGGACTAGAGCCAGAATCAAAAGAAGCACTTTGCAGATGTTCAGTACAGATAAGTTATGGACACACATCTGTATTCCACGTCAGTTGAATGAACTCACATTGTCGATGGAACCAATAAAGTGAGAGTATATTACAGAAAAATGTTTTGTTAACATTTCAAAACAATTTAATGTAAGTTTATTTTTCATTTTTGCATGTTCTAAACAATCATTAATTACACTCGGATCATTTTTTAAACATTTTTCTTCCAATTTAATTGTTTCCCTTATATTTTTCAGATTACTTGAATCAACTTCTAACGATTGTAAAATTTTAAATACTTCTTGTCTTTCTATCGGATTTTCATTTTCAATCAATGTCTTATGTATAAATTCCAATAAATTTGAATTATTTACAATTTTAAACTTTTTAGACAACATTAAAACAATTTCTGTTTTCTCGTAGGAAATTCGCGATTAAACATTTTGTAATAATCCTACAATTTCTTCTATTTTCTGTTCACAATTAGATAAAAGTATTTTATTAAAATTAAATATTTTAACAATAGCTAAAGCTGCTTGATTGTTTTCTGTTATTTTGCCTATTTCTAAAATTCTATCAATTATTTCTTGTGAAAATGAAAACTTTTTTTCATCAATAGTTAATTCAATTTTTTCTCCTAGTAAAATAATTAAATCATTAAAATTTAATTCTTAACCAATTTCAGATACTCTTGAACAATAATCAAGTTTTTCTCGAATATCACTAATCTCATTATTCATTCTAATTGATTGTCCTACTACATTATTTTTTTCATTTAAAATTTTTAATTCATTTTTATGTTTTTCTAATATTTGTTGTTCATTCCTATTACCAAATAATTTCATAAATTCATCAATATCATTCAGCTTTATTTCATCTGAATTTATTTTGTTTATATTAACTAACAAATTCCATTCGATCTCTTATAGTCGAATTTAAACAACCTTGAACATTTTTATCTCGACTATTTTCATGTAATTTCTTATTAAATTCATCAATGTTTTATCACGATATTTATTTTTATTTTCTATTAAATATTTGGATACATTTCTTTTTACTTCTTCGTTAAATTCTTGTCCTCTCTCCTTAGATATGGCCATAAAACGAATTACTTCTTTTGTACAATCAACTTTATCATTACTCGTTGGTAGAAAAATTTCTACTTCCGAAGATACTACTTAACATTTTTAATTGATCCTGTTCTGGTAGTTTATATACACTATCACTATCAAGAATATTGACTTTACTCTTATTTTCATATTTAAACCTTGTTCGACAATTAACTTTTCAAATTTAATCGATTGATTATTTTTTTGAAAAAATTTTAACTCTTGAAAGCTTTTTCCATTTCTTGCTTTTCATTTTTTAAAAAATTAACTAAATTTCAATATGACTTAATGCAATTGCAATATTTCTAACACAAATACAAGATTCATCTTGATTATTATATTTGAATTATTGATGGGTAATAGTCGAAGCAAAAATCAGATTTCAACAGCAGTTGTAAATAAAGTCATTCCAACTTGTGTCTATTCCGACGTTTCGAAAATTTATATATTCATTTACAAGGAGTACACAATAGACTATTGTGACCGTATAACAAAATGATATGTATCCTCACATATATATATCAACTTGAAAGACAGAAGCAGAAAAAAGATGAAGCAAGGAGAAATACACTATGTTCTTCCTCTTACAAGAAAAAGTAAAAAATTCATTCTCTTTTCTATATTGGTCATCTTATGAGGGATACTGAATATGAATGAACAAAAAAGAAGAAATGTACTAAGGTTGAATTGTAACGTTGTATAACTCACGAGCCATTAGGTATAACTCGTCAGCCATTAGGATCAGGTACCAAGCATCTTGGTAAACCTTCTGAATATAAAATCATTGGTACTGAATGTGTTGTTAAATTGAGAGAACGTTTATAAGCTTTGATGACTAGTGATTCCTTTATGAGCAATCCATATGGATTCTTATCTTCCCAAACTATTTTAAAATTCATCCAATCAATGTTGTGTCCTGTTTCAGATTCATGTTTAGCTAAAGCGGATTTTTCTTGTATAGCTTCTACATTTTCATTGGTGGATCCAACATCACTGGCTAGATTACTGGAGGTGTGTGTAGAAACTTTTGATTGAGATAACTGTACTGTTTCAGTTAGTAGTATAGAAGAACGTCGAGTCCCAGTTAATAATGGGTGAGCCTGGAGGATAATAAACACAATAATAATAGTCTATTGTGTACTCCTTGAAAATGAATATATAAATTTTCGAAACGTCGGAATAGACACAAGTTGGAATGACTTTATTTACAGCTGCTGTTGAAATCTGATTTTTGCTTCGACTATTAACCATCAATAATTCAAATAATAGCTGATGAGTACTCTTTTTGATACGCACGAATATGTCCAATAATCATTCCTAATTCTGGATGATTCAAACGGCAAGTTAGATAGTCTAGTCTAAAACAATGTTCGAAGTATATTTTCACATTTTTAGTATAAATCGTTCTAAATGAAATAATGAAGTTGTTTCTCTCATATCATCACTGTAAAACGCAACTAATTCATTCTCATCCTCATCCAAAAAAGCTGACCGAAGGGTTTTCTATTTCCTCACATGTACTTTAAGAGTGCTTGCTGTGTTTGTAGACTAGCAAGGGCAGTTTCAAGGTGAAGAATCTGGGACAAGATCGCCGATAGTTCCTCAGAAGTGAACATGTTAACAAACATCTTCGAACTAAATCATTCCTGAATCCGCTAGTGAAGGGCGATCAAAGGAAAATCTGAGTGGTGCGCTTCCCGTCGCTATTTCAACTTGCTGGAACAGTGTTCTTCTGGTGGAGGATCGTGTGAATATTTAGATAAGTGTAACTTTCAAAAAATCAATTCGCCGTTCATATTTTCAACGGAGAAAAGTGTCAAAAGTGTGCCCTACTAGCAAGGACGAAATTAAACACTTATTCTCCAGCATTTGTAGTCAATGCAAAAGTTTTCTTTAATCATATTGTGGTCAGCCAGTCATGGATGCTTAATTTCCTTCATCATCAACCATTTCTTTTCGGTCGTTCTGTAGACTGATAATGTTCTACTATCATAAACAAATTGATAAACATTTGAGTAAAACTGTCTCGTATTACTTTTGCTCAGTGTTTTTGACAAATTACTATCAGATAGTCTCCAAATATTTAGGATCATATATTAAGGATACAGTTGACACCAAAACATTTCCACCTGGAGTGCATAGACATGTCAGAAGACTACACACTATGGCTGACTTAAAAACAGCAAAAATAGACATAGATGCACAACTAACAAAAGCTCGCCAGCAGCTAACTGACAGTTTACAAGAATTAAAACAGTTTGTAAACAATATGCATGAAATGACACAAGGTAAGGCTACCACAGTTATGACTGAGCTCACAGATTGGACGATCTCAGCCGGCGAACCAATTTTATATCGGTATCTTAAAAAAGAGATTGACAGCAATCTTCAAAGTCAGGCAGAATCCGAATACAAAGGCGCATGGGACAGATATATAACTTTTCTAACCATAACCATCGATCCGACGATCGATAAAATGCAAATTGAAAGGATAGGTAACACACTATTTCCGTTACAAGCACTAAAATTGAGTATGAAATTCAGTTAGCGAAACTCGAGATTCGAGCTACTTTAACTGAACCACCTCCTTCACTCAAATAGTTGAACATATTGTTGAGGACCAAACTCGAGGCGAATGATCCAGAAATGATTCACATCCAACAAACGTGGGATACGGCTATAGTACAGACCAAAACGATCATGTTGAAATGCATGATCGACGCAAAACAAGCTGAAATTACAAAAGTCGCTGAACAGATAAATAAATTCATCACAAAATTACCACAACCATGTCGTGGTCTGATAGATGCAGTACTTATCTGCATGGAAAAAGTTGAAAAGTGTAAACGGGCTGCCAAGATTCATTTTTTAGAATCAAAAAACGAGGCACAGCCAGCGAGCGGTGATGAATCGAACCCGCGCTTACTCCCATCACTCGCAATATAGATTATTACCACAAGCAACTAACACTGCAGGATTTCTGACACCCCTTCAGAAACAAATATTGCGATGTGGACCAAAATATGTATACCCCAACTATAGAGAGGCACTCAAAAGATTACCGAACGAGGTAAAAGTCATGACTGACAAAATAATGGACAAATTTAGAGAACAACCAAATCAGCCTAAATTTGTCAGGCCAATAATAGATGACTTCAGCGGAAAAATAAAACAGATAATTCAAGAACGACTGGTAGAAAATGATCTATCTCATCGACTGAATTACGCATCTACATCCATTGCCTTGAAACATCTGTTAGATAAACAGAAAAACAAAGAAGTAGTGTTTCGACAAACAGATAAATCAAAAGTATTTAACTTAGATACACCAAGTAATTATGCTAGAAAATCAGACGACTATATGGCCAAAACGGATGCATATACAGAAATATCTGAACACCCCCTGAAACAAATGATAGACAGCACAAATAAACTCTTGCGAGATTTATTGGGGCAGAAACGTATACCAGCTAGTGTATTCGAAAAGTTGAAACCACCGCAAGACTGCGAGTTACCACATCTTTACTATAATCCAAAGGATCACAAACCCGGTGTACCTTTGAGGCCAATAGTAGCGGGGATTAAGTCACCAATTACACCTATTTCAAAGTACTTGGACAAGACTTTACGACCTATATTTGAGAAATACACCCAACATTATACGCTACAAAATACATACGTATTTTTGAATCATCTGGATAGGCATCCTATGACAGACGACACCATTTTAGCTACATTCGATATAACTGACTTATACACCATGATTCCTCAAAAAGAATCAATTATGGCGCTATGTAGATTTCTAGCAAAATGTGGAAAGTCTAAAATCAATAATATCTCCATTGATACTTTTGCAAAATTAAGTAGACACGTATTAGACAATGCCTATTTCGCATATGAGAATCGACTTTTTAAACAAATAAAAGGAGGACCAATGGGCTTTGCTATCACTCAAATATTAGCTGACGTTTATATGTTTGAATGGGAAAAAGATATACTGGCCCAACAAACAGCAGAAAAACAACTGTATGTACGATTTAGAGATGACATCTTTTTAACCTCAAGACTGAGCATATTAGATCTCGAAAAACACCTTAAATCTTATAATGAGCAAGACCGCCATATAAAACTAACTTATGAAATTGGCAAGACTGTCAATTATCTAGATGTGACTGTTCATGTTCAATGTCCAGTTGCACGCACGACAGTTTACCATAAGCCAGCGGCT